AGTATTCTTAACAGTTTACCCTCCCATAAGTGCCAGGTTTCTGTTCTCGCGACTAAAAGGCTCAGGGGTCATTCCAGTTAAACTGGGCTAACTGGGCTGCATGAAATAACCACACAAGAGACACAAATATCTTTTTCTTTGAGGTCGCTGTGACAGCTTCTCTGACCTTAAGGGTCCACAGAAAGAGAGAGAGAGAGCACGCGCTGACCCCTTTTATTGAGGAGAAGCTATTCAAATGAGGCAAGGGGTCAGGTTTTAGGGGGCTGAGTATCTTCATGATGTCCACTGTCAGCAGGTTGACTGACACCTGGGTTGGCCACAGCCAAGGGCACAGTAAGAGAAGGGGATACACACAAGGCACTTCCATGGAAGATTCTATCCTAAACAGGGCAAGGGGTTATATTACAAAGCAACAGGTGAGCATAGCAAGACACACCCATGCACAAGACACTGACCCTCGAACCCAAGAAGGGTGGGGAAAGCTCTGCCACATTCTGTGATAGAGCGCCTCAGCACCCAGCCAGGGAGTGTGACCCAGTCATGTGCAAGGTTGAATATCCCACAGATAACTGCTATAGTAATCTTAGTTGGCATTTATATTCTTTCAGGGTGTGAAAACATGAATACCCAATATCATGTTTATTAACTGAAAATGTGGTGGCACCCCCTCCTCTACCAATGCATCTTAATTAAGCTTCTTCAGAGACCCTCACCACAATTTTTCTTGTTAATAAAATATCAGTCAAGAAAGATTTCTGCAGAAGGGCTCAAAAACTGACAAAAACAACCAAGCTAAAACTAAGCTATGGTACAAAAGCCAATACTTAACTAATCCTTGAATATGAGAAAGAAGGGATACTTCCCACCCTATTTTCTGTTGCTCTACTCTGTCTTGCAAAAGCTAATTTTGGTTGTGAACCTCTGTCATAAGAAATGAAACAAAAAGCACTTTCTGAGAACTTTGATGTTGACTCCTCTGCATGTAAATCTCCAACTCCCCCCTCACCGCCCCCACCCCACACTGGATATTAAGTTCAAAGAAATTCTAGTCATTGTCCAGAGAATATTTTAGGCTATCCAACAGACTCTCTGGACCCTGCAGTTTATTAACCTGCTTCTTGATAATTCCTTGGGTGTCCAGCCTTTTCTGTCCCACTTCAAAAGGATCAATATTATTATTTTTCTTTATCCTACTTTATGGTTTTAATTTGTGCTTCTTTTCTTTATCTAATGATTGTCCTCTACACACTGCTTTAGTTGCATGATACATGTTTGGATATATTTTATTATCAGTTAGTTTAAAATATTTTCTACTTAGATCTTCAGGTTATTTAGAAGTATGTTGCTTAATCTTCAAACATTTGGAGATCTAATATCTTTACATTATTTATGTTTAAATTTAAGTTCATAGTGGTTAAGGAACATATTGTACATGATTTCAGTTCCCTAAAAAGTTGTTGAGCTGATGGTGGAGGTGCATGACTATAATCTCAGCTACTGGGGCGGGGCAGGGGGGGGTGCGGCTAGGAAACTTAGTGAGACTTGTTTCCAAAAAGGTGGGGAAAGGGCAGTTGGCTAGCATGCATGAGGTCTTGGGTTCAATTCCCAGTTCCATTAGGGAAAAAAAAAAAATGTTTTGAGATTCTTTATGGCCCCCAGAATGTTTATTTTGGAAAGTGGCAATACATCTGCATTTGAAATAAATGTGCATTCTGCAGCAGTTTGATGTAATACTCTATATAAGTAAAAATAGGGCAGTTGAGTTACTATGCTATTTCCATCTTTTGTTTCTAAAGATGCAGAAAAAAGTGGGGGGGGGGGGCGAGCATAAAGCACTCTGGCAGGGAGGTTGAGAAGCAGACCTTGTAGGGCCCCTTGAGAAGGAAGGCCAGTGTTTGGGGGGTTCTGAAAACAACTCTGAAAAAACTGACAAAAACAACCAAGCTGAAACTAAGCTATGGAACAAACGCCAATACTTAACTAATCCTTGAATATGAGAAAGAAGGGATACTTCCTACCTATGTTAAGCAAATTATCTCATTTCTAGAAAAACAAGGCAAATAACATCACAGGGGTTTCAGAAACAATCTTGTTCATGTCAAAAGCTGCTGTTTCTTCTTCCTCCTCCTTCACCAGGGATGGAAAATGACCTCACACATGTGGCCTGTGCAATTTTACATTGTCCTTGGGAAACTGTGCCACTTAGAATACGCATATTATTTAGCATTGTAGTGAGAAAAGATGAAGGGAACAGGTTTTTGGCCTGAAAGACACACAATTTTCAAGATTAACATACTTCTAAATAACCTGAAGATCTAAGTAGAAAATATTTTAAACTAACTGATAATAAAGTATATCCAAATTTTAGATTGAAAAGGGAATTGCAATTATGGTGTAAGGAGGCCTCCATGATCCCTGCCCCCATACTTGTGGAATTCCCTTCCTCCTCCAGCTAGGACAGGACCTGTGATTTGCTCCCAGCTAATGGAATGCAACAAAGGTGATGGGTCCTTGGGACTGTATGTAAATTATGACCTCATAGTGCCCTTCTTGTGAGTCTCTCTCTGGTGCTGTTTTTGAAGGAACAGCTTGACATCAATCCTACAGCTATAAGGATTGAACTGTACAACCCTGGAGCTTGGAACAGATCCTCTAAAGTCAAGCTCTGAAGATACCAAACCTTGGCGAAAAGATTTTTCTGCAGCCTGTGAGATCCTGAACAGATGACCCAGCCAAACTGTCCTCACTTTAGACCCACAGACATTTCAAGTTAACAAGTGTGTGCTGTTTCAAGCAGCAGTTTTTGATAATTTATTATGCAGCAGTAGAAAACAAAATGCACTAATGGGTAAAACCACTCTGGAAAGCAGCATGGAGGTTCCTTAGAAAACCTGGAATGGAACCACCATTTGACCCAGTTATCTCACTCAGTATTTACCCAAAGGACTTAAAATCAGCATACTACAGTGATGCAGCCACATCAATGTTTATAGCAGCTCAATTCACAATAGCTAAATAATGGAACCAACCTAGGTACCCTTCAACAGATGAATGGATAAAGAAAATGTGGTATCTATACACAATGGAATGTTACTCAGCCATGAAGAAGAATGACTTCATGACTTTTGCTGGTAAATGAATGTATCTGGAGACTATCGTGCTAAGTGAAATAAGCCAATGTTTTCTGATATGCAGATGTTAACACACAATAAGAGGGGAGGGCAGAATAGAATTTCAGTGGAGGAGAGAAAGGGGAATGAAGGGAAGGGAGGAGGGATGTGAATAAGAAAGACAGTAGTATGAATCAAACATAACTTTCCTATGTCGTATATGGATACACGACCAGTGAAACTCCTCATCATGTACAACTACTAGAATGGAAAGTTATTCTCTCTATATATCTATATCTATATCTATATCTATATCTATATATCAAAATACACTCTACTATCATGTATATCTAAAAAGAATAAAAAAAGAAAAGGAAAAAGAATGCACTAGCCCTAAAGATTTTTCCTCTAAAGATTTTTTCCTTCAAAACAACAGCATTTCTAAATATTCAACTTAGCATTTAGATTTCTTCTTCTACATTAGAGGACAACAGTATGCCCACATTGGCATTATTTGAGCCAGATGTTCAAGAGACAAAGGAGAATAAAGGGTGACTAGAACAGAGGCTCCTTATCTTCAATGAGCTGCTGAGCTGCCCAAGGCTTCCCCCGTATTGACCCTCCCCTACAATTTACTTCTCTTCACCCCTCCAGGTGTCAGAAATAGAAGGAAATAAAGTAATTCTCCCTAAAAGATTTCTTCCTCTTTTTTCTTCTTTTAACTAGCAACCCCAACTGTAGACAGAGGTTTCTTAAAAATTCAAAGAACATCCATTTTGAAACTGAAAACAGAAGTCTATTTTTTATTAATTCTAAATGTTTTTACTTCATACTCTGTTCCGTTAGGAAAATAGCTACATACAGCTGAATATGTTTTGTCCATGCAAGTGCAATAATAAAGTTTAGCCAAATTTAATTTTTCAAAAATGGTTTTAAAGTGCTGGGGATCAGGGCCTCACACATACTTTGCAAGTGCTCTACCATGGAGCTACACTTTTAGCCCTTTTTTGGATTTTATTTTGAGACAGGGTCTAAGTTTCACTCAGACTGAACTTGGAACTTTTGATCCTTCTGCCTTAGCCTCACATCAGGTTTATAATTAAAAAATAAATTTTTTTTTTTTTTTGGCATTAAATTAGGGACAACATGAATCTATGTCCACACTTGAATTTATGGACTCTGAGGCACTGGATTACTGGATCCAGAAACACCCCATGTTTCATGCCTTTGTATTTCCCCAATACATAGCACAGTAGTCAAAGAGCTTGTCATGGTTTAGATATGGTTGGTTCCCCAAATGTTCATGTGCTGAAAGCTTAGTCTCCAATGTACTGGTACTGAGAAGTGAAAGGATCTTTACGAGGTGGTGGGATCTTCAGTGGAGGGGTCTGGGTCATGGGGTCACTTCTCAGAAGGGATTAATATCTGTCTTACACAAAAGCATTAATGTCATTTTGGCTTCTTCAGCAAGCTCCTCCACCACTTACCACTCTCTCATGTGCTCAGATCATACGATATCATCTGCCTTGTTATGACACCGTAGGAGGCCCTCACAGGTGTGGCTGCCCAAGCTTGGACTTTTCAGTGTTTGAAACCAAAATAAAACTCTCTTCCTTATAAACTAAGGTCAGAGATTTTGTTATAGCAATACAAAGTGGACTAAATAGAGTCACTCAAAGAATTTGAGGAATCCAGTTAAATTAGAAAATAATTTCTACACAAAAATAAGTTAATTGGTATGATGTCAGAGGATCTAAATTTAGATATTCAACAATGCTGATCTTACCTACTTTAGAGTGAAATTCTTATGGGAAAAGGGAGAACATTAAATAACCAAACTTATAAATCTATATGGTAGGGAAGAATCAGCAGTCAGTGAGAAGACTGGGATTTCAAATACATTTTAAAGATTTTAATGAAAACATTTTCTCACCAACTTTAAATAAAAATAATTTGCACTTTTTAATCTGATGCTGCAATGGTGTCAGGACTTAACTGCTTTCTACTCCACAGGCTTTAGATGCCACTGCACTACTAACTCCCCAGTGCTCTTGAGGCATGTGGAAGACATATTCTCTTCTGTTGGAAGTCCTTGTGGTAGCTTCAGGGGCTGGATTCTGTGACAGAAGAAAAGGCATTTAGAATCACACTAGATAACATATTTTTTAAAACTGCTGAGATAATGAACAACAAACCTTATCAAATGTTTAACCACTTTCAGTTTTGCATTCACAGAAGGGATATTCTTGTGAACTTGAGGGGTATGTGCCTACAAACAAAGGAATAATGTTATGAATCAACTGAAAAAGCAAATAGCTCTGTTTTTAGAAAATGTTAAACTGAAGGTTCAGTCTGTTTAGATCAAAATTACAAAAAAGTTACATTAAGTAATACATTAAAACAAGAGACAATTTTAAAAAGTGTGAAATGTAAAGCAAATTTAAACAACACTGAGGATAACTAAAATAGTTGCATACTTTTTCTAATCCAAGCATCTTTATTGTATCTTTTTCCCAGTATGGACGTCTTTTTGTACTTTTTATTCTGGTAACGATGTGTAGTTTATGAGGGTGCTGTGGATCCCCACCGTATTTTTCATGATCTGCTGGTGAAGGCTGAAATACCTACAAAGGAAGAATTATAAATGGTAAACTTTGAACTTACACAGTTTCTATGTACCTCCCATTTTTCTTAAAAAATGCTTGCACTGGCATGTGTACACACACACACACACACACACACACGCGCGAGCGCGCGCACACACACACACACACACCCCATACTGATCTCATCCTTAATCTTTATATAATCCTCAATCTGAAACTGCACATTTCTACCAGTTTTGTCTGATTACTAAAAGGGAGTTTAAGACTTTTATCCTTTTAAGAAAAATGTCACATAAGCAAGAATTTTGTCTTGTTGTTTAACCCCTGGGAACAAAGCCTAAGGAAACCAAATGACACTAAACGATTCAAATGCCAAGAGAACATATTAGCCCTATAGGATGAACACCATTCATCCAAAAATCTGAAATCTGAAATACTCTGAATCTGTCAAACTCAAAGCAAACTGGGGTAACTCAATTAGAAAAGTTTATGTAAATATTCCAAAATCAAAAATCTCTGAAATCTGAAATTGAAAAGGGCCAGTTGAGACAGTAACTTTTTATCTCTGTATTTTACCACTATAAAATAATGCAGGGGATGGGAGAACCCAAACCAACCAACTAACCAACCAACCAACCATCCAAACCAATAAAAAACCCCAGGTTTCACAAAGCTAAATACAGTCTTTACCATAAAATCTAGCAACCATGCTCCTGAGCATTTACCCAAAGTGTTGACACTTATGTCCACACAAAGACCTGCACATAAGTATTTGTACTACTTCCTGTAGTACTGTCAAAACTGGAAGCAATCAAGATGTCCTTTAGTAAGTGAATATACAAATAAACTATATAAATCCATACCATGAAATATTCAGCAATAAGAAGATATAAGCTATTAAGCCATGAAAAGGCATGGAGGAACCTTAAATTACATTGCTAAGTGAAAAAAGCGAGTTAGAAAAGGCTACACACCGCATGATTCCAACCACAGACATGCTGGAAAAGATAAAACAAACAGTAAAAAGATCAGTTGCTGCCAGGGTTTGGGAGTTGGGAAGAAGGGATGAGCAGGTGGAGCACAGGCAATATTTAGGGCAGTGAAAAATTCTGTACTATACAGTGATAATGTATATATGACATTGTATCTTTGACCATAAAGTAAACAACATAAGGAGTGTAAACTATGAGCTTTAGTTAACAAAGTATCAATGTAGTTTCATCAGTTGCAACAACTGTATACCAATGGAAGATGTTAGTATCAAGGGAAACTGTGCGTTGTGGGGAGGGAATATATAAGAAAGTCTCTATATTTTCTGATCAATTTTCCTATAAGTCTAAACTCCTTTATGCAACAACATCTATTAATTAAAAAGCAAAACAAACAAAAATACAAAACAAAAGCCAAAATCAATGAAGGGCTTTTTTTTTTTTTTTAAAGAATGATAAGTACATATAAATCTAATAGAAAAAAAATGAAAGATTTAAAGTAGCAAAGGCTGATATAGAAAGTGAAGATGAAGAGTCCCATTGTGAGAGCCTGGGCAAGAAGGACCATTTTCTTAGGACAACGATGATACAAAAAATCAAAAAATAAACAAATAAGAAAAAAAAAAAAAACCAAAACCCAAGAAGCAGGAACAACACTCAGAAAAACAAAACAACCCATCCTGCAAAGGCCAGTGGCACAAGTAACAGAACACAGTTTTATTTTTAATAATCATAATTTACATGAATACTATTATGTTTTAACTCTGTACATATGACTTAACATAAAAGCTTTCAAAACAGGTACCTTTTAATACATGGTACTTAAAAAAAAAAAAAAAGAAGGAAAGAAACAGTAGCATTGTTCTTACTTTATCTGGAATTCTTGATTTGGTAAATTTGTGACGAATCCAATCTGTACCAAGGAGAGACTCCACACCTTTTGTCACAGTCTAAAATACGAAATAAAACATTTGACTTTTTAGAAGTCTGTCTAGTGCAGAAAGCCACACCCACCAATCCTTAGGTGACTAGTCTGTTCTGACCTAACATACAATTGTTAAAAAGATTTATCTCAACTCCCTAGCAGAATGAATACCTCCCATCTAACCACTGACCAAGTTGGTAACTTTTTCCTGGGAAGAACCATATACTGGGGCTGGGGATGTGGCTCAAGCAGTAGCGAGCTCGCCTGGCATGCGTGCGGCCCGGGTTCGATCCTCAGCACCACAT